TGCGCGCGGCACGCCGCCGGCCGAGCTGAGCTGGGCGCGGGGACCCGGGCGGACGCGCGGACGGCGGAGTGAACCGGCAGACGCACGGCGGCGGCGAGCGGCGCGCGGGTCCCAGCCGGGCTTGCCCCCAGGAGCGGGCGGCACCCGCTGCCCGGGGAATCTCCCGCGCCCCGCCGCGCAGCTCCAGTGCCAGCGCCCAGTGGCCGCCGCCTCCGAAGTGATCGCTGCCTCGCCGCCTCCACCCGGTCCGGGACCATGAAGCCGCTGCCGTCGGTGGTGCTGAAGCTCTTCCTGGCTGCAGGTAAGAGGGCTGCCGACGCCCCCAGGGGTCGGGGGGATGGGGACGCTATGCTGGGGGCAAAGAGGAAGGTCGCTGCAGCGACCCCGGCGCGGGCCACTTGGTGGGGCCCGTGCACCCTGGCAGACGAGCGTCGGCATCAGTGTGTGTTGGCTGGGGGTGTGGGCTGGGGGTCTGATGCGGCCTCGCCCCTCTCCCGCAGTGCTCTCGGCGCTGGTGACGGGCGAGAGCCTGGAGCGGCTTCGGAGAGGGCTGGCATCTGGAACCAGCAACCCGGACCCTCCCACTGGATCTACAGACGAGCTGCTAGCCCCAGGAGGCGGCCGGGACCGGGGAGAAGTCTTTGACTTGCGAGAGGCAGATCTCGACCTTTTCAGAGGTAATTGTGGGGGCTGCCCATCCTCCGACTTTGGTGGGCAGTTGAAGAATTAGAGAATTTGAGATGCATGCTGTTCGGGTACCTCTGGGTGTTGGGGGTATTAATGGAGCACCTCAAGGAAAGCTGATCGGCCTGGGGCATCCTGGAATATAGGTCCCACTGTCTCTCTTGTCCTTGTCTCACCGGCTGGGTTGATGCCCTTCTGTGTACTTTTGAGCAAATTGAAACAGGCAAGTTGTCTAGGGTTGATACATTCCTCTGAAGTAAGCAGGGTGATAGGAATAAGGAATTGTTGAGATGCTTTCCCTAGAGTTCCTGCAGGCCAAGGTGAAAGGATTCCCTGACTCCAGGGTTCAAGTCTAGCCTGGGCAACTTGGCAAGACCTCATCTCTACAGTAAATCAAAAAAATTAGCCAGGCGTGGTGGTGTGTGCCTGTAGTTCCTGCTACTTGGAGGGCTGAAGCAGAAGGATCATCTAAGCCTAGCAGGTAGAGCCTGCGGTGGCTGTGAGCATGGCACTGCACTCCAGCCTGGGCAAGAGTGAGACTCCGACTCAAAAAAAAAAAAAAAAAAAAAAGAGTGCAAGTCCATTTTTCCACAAAAAAATCTGTTATGTGTAAAATAGAGATAACAAATGTGGAGGTGTCCAGGCACATAGAAAGTATGCAGTGGCAGTGTTAGTCTCCTTCCTCCCACCTGTCTTCAGGTTGGGGAAACAGGAGATTGAGGAACTCTTGTTCTCCCTAGGTGAGGTCAAGCACCTCCGGGGGATTATGAATGGTGAGCACTGGGTCCCTAGGGGGTTGTATTGAAATCCTGGGTATCTGGCTAGGTTAGGTACCTCATGTCTGTAATCCCAGCACTTTGGGAGGCTCAGGCGGAAAGATTGCCTGAGCCCAGGAGGCTAAGGCTGCAATGAACCATGATCGTGCCACTGCCCTCCAACCTGGGTGACAGAGACCCCAACTCAAAAATAAAATAAAATACAAATAAATAAATAATGCCAGGCATCTATGAATGCTACCCAAAGCCTGGAGGCTTCCTGACCACCGTGAGTCCCTGAGGGCTGTGTGGATCCTCCAGTCAACTTATGTGGCTGTGGCTGAGTAGAGGCGTAGGGCAGAGTCCAGAGCCTGCCGACTTCCCTGCCCCCAGGCACCTGAAGCCATTTTCTAGGGTGGAGCGGGGAGTAAGCTCTGCAGTCTCAGAATGACTGGATTTGGTTGCACAGAGGCCCACCTGCTCCTCACCTGCCTTTCTCCCTCCTTATCTGAACTTCCTTTGGGTACTTGCTTCGGACCTGGGCTCCCACACTTCATTCTCTCACAGTGACCCTCTAGGGGGTTGCCCATGGCCTGAATAGCCTGGATTCTCCTGGCCTTCTCCTTCTAAGCTGGGCTGGGCAGGACTGGGCTGTGACTCACGCCCCCACCCACACGGCTGCTCCTCATACCTCTGCAAACCTGACTCACTGCTCCCTCTCCATGGCAGGAGCCTGGCTGGCACCCTGCACCCGTCCCTCCCCTCTCTGATTGGCATGGCCCTCCTGCCTTGCTCTCCCCACCACCCTGGTCACTGGGTAGTTCTTTGACCGCCTGCCTCGCCTTCTGAGCTCTGAGGTGGCCTGGGACTGGACTAGAGGAAATGAGAGACTGTGTGGCTGCAGATACCTACTTCTCTTGTCTTCTTTTGGTTTTGCTAGGCAAGGACTATTTTTCAGGTCTGGAGGTCATATAAAGAAATAACTGCTACCAGTTATTAAATGCTTATTGTGTTATAGGCACTTGATATTTTATCCTGGTTAATTTAACCCTTGTAGCAACCTTCTGAGGTTACTCTTGCTATCCACATCTGACTGAGAACCCTGAGGTGCAGAGAGAGGTTAAGTGAATTGCCCAAAGTCACAAGGCTGAAATTGGAGCACAAGTCTACTACTGACTTCAGAGCCCATTCATTCCTGGCTCAGCATCTCAGGTGCTCCAGACTTGTGGGAGGGAAGAGAAGGGGATATGTGAGGCAGCTTGGTGTAGTGGGGAAGAACATTGGATGTGAAGTGCAGAGACCTCATTTCTTTTACTTATTTATTTATTTATTTATTTTTAAGTTGGAATCTCACTCTGTCGCCCAGGCTGGAGTGCAGTGGCACGCTTACAGCCACCACAGCCTCGACCTGTTGGGCTCAGGCGATCCTTCTGCCTCAGTCTTTCAAGTAGCTAGAATTACAGGCATGTGCCACCACGCCCAGCTAATTTATTGTAGAGATGAGGTCTCACCAGGTTGCTCAGCCTGGTCTCAAACCCGTGGGCTCAGGCAGTCCTCTCACCTCAGTCTCCCAAAGTGCTGGGTTTATAGGCATGAGCCACCATCCCTGGCCTATTTCTATTTTTTAAATATGGGGTACAATTCAGGGTCAGGTATACAAATGTCAGAGACTGCATTTCTAATCTCAGAAATGCATGACCTTGGGTATATTCCTCTGCTTTTTGGAACTTCAGGTTTTTCATCTGCAAACAGAAAGCCATGATATTGTTTGAAGTTACTTCCAGCTTGAGAATTCTAGGTCTCTGTTTTAATGCATCATGCTCAACCTTCTGCTAGACATATGGCTGTAGCCATGGTTATGGGGTACCTTCTTCCTGCAGGGGGTGGGGAGCAAAGGGGTAGGGTTGGGCTATCGTCAGACCCCTGGGCTCATGGGTGGTGGGCTCATGGGTATAACTGGTCAGTTCCAGCTGAATGTCTGTGTGAGGTTGTTTTTCCCCCAGTCTCTCTGAAGTCTGGAAAGAAGTGGGGAGTCATCGTTGTTCCAGTTCCCTCAGGACAGCTCCCTTATTTCCACCCCTTGTATCCTCTGTACCTCGCATCTCAGAGAGCCATAAACAGGACATTTGGGGATAAATGCAAATGGATCTTTGAGAAAGTGGGTGAGCTGTAAAGGATATACAGCAGGGTAAATATGTTGCTTGAAGTCAAAAAAGAAAGGCTTTGACCAGGACTGGCCTTCTTGCCGTTCCCAAACCAGGATGTGCTCTGGGCTCATGGTACCCTGGTACCAGTGGGTATCCCAGAGGGGGCCACCTGAGATATGAAGACTGTTCTTTTTTAAGGAGGCTTCCACCCCCAAAACCTCCAAGTACCTTCTCCAGAAGCAATTTTTGTCTGTGACACTGACTTTCTGCAAGTGGGTCACTGATTACAGCATCAGAAAATGAAGCTGATTTAAGGCTAAAATAGAATGAAGTGGGTATGGGGGACTGGGAGTTGGGGATGGAAGGTGGACAGCGGAGTGGGGGTGAGATTGGTAGAATTGCCCAATAAGCTGCAGTTACTTGACGGAAGCTAGCTTTCTCAGAATGGGGCTCTTAAACTGAGATGGTGAAATGCCTTCCTTGGGACTCACCCTAGCTTCTATTTCCTACTGAGGTTCCCTCTTTCTGCTGGTGCTGCCCAATCTTCCCTCAGCCCTTGGGAGGCACTGAACCAGGGGGTCCTCCCAGGCCTCAGACTGTAAGTGAGACGGAAGAAACACTAGACTGTTCTGATCTTCTCCCTAGGAATCAAAAACTTAACAGGGTGCCTTTCTCCTACAGTTTCTTTGTCCTCCAAGCCGCAAGCACTGGTCACACCAAGCAAGGAGGAGCATGGGAAAAGAAAGAAGAAAGGCAGGGGATTAGGGAAGAAGAGAGACCCATGTCTTCGGAAATACAAAGACTTCTGCATCCACGGAGAATGCAAATATGTGAAGGAGCTCCGGGCTCCATCCTGCATGTAAGTGCCTCTTCCCCAGGGCTGAATATTGTCAGCACACTCTTTGTCAGCCACGTGGCTGTTCCTCATTGTCACTGTTCCTTGAACTCATAATTTCACCCAGTTTCTTCTTCAACTCTGGGCGGAAGTTGGCGGGAAGGGAGATATTTTTAGTCAGCGGAAGTCCCCCCCACCATAGGATGTAATTTCCTGTGGTGTGGGTTTGTGACGCTCTTTAATCCTTGGGGATATTTCCTGCCTGCGCAAAATGAGTATGTGGCTAGGGCAGCTGGCACTTGAAGGCAGGCCCTTCATTCTTGCTCATGCCCTGCTCTGGGAGGGAGAAGCCAGTAGGAAACATGGCAGAGTGGGCTTCCTGAGTGGAGTAGAGCTCCTGCAGGCAGGTATAAGGTGTGTTTAGACACATACTGTGTAGGTATGTGCGTGTTTGGGTATGTGTGCACATGAGAGAGCAAATATGGGTTGATTTCAAGGCATAGTGAACAGTACAGAGAGGGGCCATCTTGGGGGCAGGTTGAAGCCCCTCCTCCCTTCTTCTTTATCCCAGCAAAGGTCAAGAGGGTGAGGGACATGGAGAGTATTGGCCTTTGGCCATGGTGGGTAGGAGAACACTTTCTTTGTGCAGGATTGATAGTAAATGGAACCCGATCCAGCAGCCATTGGCCTCTGGTCAGGCAGCATTACCCCTTCCCTGGGTAGGGGTGTGGGCGGAGGGGCTGTGGGTTCCTCAGCCTTTCTTCCAAACCAAACCCAACAAACGGCTGCCTTGGCAACCTCTCAGAGATGACAGCACTGCCATGCTCTCTGGCAGGCATAATGTCACCACTGTGCCTGAGGCCAACACCCCACGTCAGGCTGCAAACATCCGCTCTCTTCCCTGTGGGGAGGCAGACTCTGGGGGCCTTCTGGGGAGACTCTGGACGGGGCCAGGAGATTGGTGTGTGCCCACTGCCTCCTGGCCTGTCAAGAAGGCTGACTGCCTGGTGTCTCTTCTACGGGTGATTGGTGCAGATCCCTTGGCTTTTGAAAGCTTCCTTGGCCTGTCTGATCACACACAGCAGAGCTGCCCTGGATTTGGCAGTTGGCAGACAGACCCATCACTCCCCACCGTGTTCACAGCCACTTGTGTGTCTTTTCCTATAACATCCTTGTCAGGATGTTGGTATTAGAGGGGATTGTTCAAGAGTAGCATAGAGTGTTCCCCCATTATCCCTCCCAAGGTCTTGGGACAGGATAGGAAACGTTTGTCTTAAATTTATAAAATAGCATCATTGGCACAGGGTGAAGCAAGTGACCCTGGGTGGTCAAGTGGATTGAGGCCAGAAATCTGTCTGGGCCAAATTGGTCCTGGGTGTTTTCGTGGATGGAGTTGGGCTTCCATTGCTCATCTGAGAAGGCTTGTGTGACCGCTCTCCTGAAGAGCTGGGCTTAACTGACCAACTCAACCCAGAGACCCTGATGAGCACACACAGGCCACATTCCCAGTGGCCCTCGGGACAGTGATGATAATTATAAGGATGCCTTCTCTCCTTTGTCCCAGCGCTTCAGTATTTACATTAAATATGAGTTGAGCTCAACAGGTGTGTTGAACCTCTATTTGGTGTCAGACACTATTCTAGGATATGGAAAGATAGAGAGTCTCCTGGGATTTTCACAAACCTTCTGCTGGGTAGGCAGAACTGGCTATGTCTAGTTGAAAGATGATGAAGCTAGAGCTAGAAAATAGCAGTCCTTTGCCTGAGATCGATAACTAAACAAGTGGATGGAAACAGGACAGGACCTCAGGTGCCTAACTCCTAGTCCAGCATGTTTTTCATTCCCCCAGGCTGCACTGGGTGTTGACTTTTGTCCTTCTGTCCTATATCTGTCCTTATAGAGTTCAAGCGGGATTTTATAGAGAGCAGCAGTTGTCCTAGAGATCTCTCTGATGCGAAGTTTATGTTAGCTTCCTAGGCAGGCTTTCAGTGGGTGGGTTCCATGTCTGGTCTGCCTCCTGCCTCCTGCCCTTGGGCCTCAGGGCAGAAGCAGCAAGAAGACAGAATTCCTGGTTTAGGGGAATGTGACATCTTTGTACCTACATCTGGGGCCCTCTGTGGCTTCTCCTTGCCTCCAGACCCAGAAACCGCCAGCCAGGGTGTGTCCAGGCTGCTGTGGTGAGCTTGAGGCTAGCTGGCTTCCTAAACCAGCTCTCTGCAGCCACCACAAACAGGAAAACTCTTTTGTGTCACCAGCCAAAAAATCACCCTCAAAGAGTAGTTTTCTGGGGCTACTGACCCAGAAATTGGCTGCGAAGTGTCCTGTGGCTGGAGGAAACTTGGGGGCAGTTGGGCTGAGAAGGACTCAGAGCTGGAAGAGAGACAGGCCTGGGGACTTGACTTGGCCTCAGCCCAGGTACCTAGAAGGAATGGTGAGCCCCTTCTCTTGTGCTCTGTCTGACTTTGGTATGCCATTCCTCAGGATATGAGCAGTACCTCTGGAGTCTGATTGGATAATAACTCACATAGTGGGGGACTTGGCCTTTTATTAAGTGCTTTCACTGGCATTATTTCATTTCATCTTTTCACAATACTCTAGTGAGGTAGACACTTATTATCCCTGTTTCATACAAGGAAACCAAAGCTTGAAAAGGTAATGTAACTTGCCCAAGATCACCTGACTAGAAATGACAGAACCAATCTGGAACTCATGTATTCTGAGTATCCTCCATCAAGTGGTGCCCCCTCCACCTCCCAGGGTAGGGGCAGAGAAATCCAGTTTGAAAGAAGTCTCTGGACCCTGGAGGGTTCTTGCTTCTGTTGTAATACAAGTTCTGAAGTGGGTCACAGACATGGGTAGGAGGAGTGTGTCCTAGTTTGATGGGCGGCTGGCTCTGAACAAGACACACGATCTTGCCCCCACCCTGGGATGCTTGGCATGCACTCATCACCCCCCTCCTTCCCTGGGGAAGCCAGGAGTTGTCTGCAAAGGGAGGGGAAGGTGGGTAATATTAGGATGTTTACATTATTATCCTTTTGACTCAGGGTGAGGGTGGAGGGATTATGTAACTGAATTGCGGGACTCTGAGGCCAAGCTTTATTTCTATCATCTGAGTAACTACCTGTGGGGTTTGAATGATGGACTGGAAGTGAAAAACAGACTCAACTTCATCTTCCCTCCCCCCAGGAGAGCAAAGTCTGAAGTCATCTGGACTGCTGGGTCGAATTCTGGCTCTACCACTTACTAGCTTTGTAACCTTGGGCAAGATTTTTAACAGAAATTAAGCTTCAGTCTCTTCATCTTTAAAATGCGGATAGTAACTCCTACTTCACAGAGATGATTTTTTTTTTTTTTTTTGAGTTGGAGTCTCACTCTGTCGCCCAAACTGGAGTGCAGTGGCCGCTTCCGGCCACCGCAGCCTCAACCTGCTGGGCTCCGGCGATCCTTCCACCTCAGCCTTCCAAGTAGCCAGAATTACAGGCATGCGCTACCATGCCCGGCTGATTTTTTTATTTATTGTAGAGATGAAGTCTCACTGCCCAGGCGGGTCTCGAACCCACAGGCTCAGGCAATCCACTCACCTCAGCCTCCCAAAGGCACGGAATTACAGGCTGAGCCACCGAGCCTGGCTTACAGAGATGATTTTAAGATGAAATGAAATGTTACTTATAAAGCAGTTAGCACAAAGCACTTGGCTCATGGTTCGCCTTTAATATTTACCATTTATTATTATTTATTATCCTAGCTATGAATAATAATAATCAGAGAGCAAGGTCAGACAGCCCCAGGAATCTATCAGATATATGTTTCTTCGGGTTACCTACAGTGTTCAGAGTGGAAAGAATAATGAATTTGGAATCTGCCAAGACTGGTTCCTAGTTTTGACCCAGCTGCTTCCCAGGTGTGAAACTTTTGGAAAATCACTTAACCTCTCTGACCCTTAATCTCAGCCTCCCAGTCTGTAAAATGGGGCTGTACCTGCCTATCAGAGTGTTAGGAGGCTCAATTGAGATAGTAGATAAGGATAGTGGCTTGCTAATGGTAAACTGCTGTGCACAAGCGATTTTCCAGGGACAAACCTGGGAGTGGCCTCCATGTTCTGGAAGGATGGGAGTCATTTTTTGGCCCTCCTGGGTGGATGGGACACGTGTATGGAGAGGCTGGGCAAGGAACTGTGTACTACCCTGTATGTACAGCGGGCCTGACCTGCATTTATCCTGCAGTGAGGTAGCTCCTCAAAGCACCAGGAAGAAATGGGGCAGGGCGAGGTGCAAGGCAGGAAGGCAGGGGCAGCGACACAGCACCATTCAGCCTAGCCCCTCTGCCACGGCTGGGCCTAGACAGGTCTGCTCCTCAAGTTTCCTTGGTGCCCTCTCAGCAGGAAGAAGGGATTCCTCGCTCTGAGGCACCAGGTACACAGCCTCCTCCCCAGAGAAGGCACAGCTCAAAATAGGTTCTCCGTGCTTCCTTTAGCAGCTCGTGGCCTGAAGTCCCCAGGCAGACAGTGCCTGTACCCCCTGGCTGCGGTTGTGGGGTGTGAGTGGCGGCACACTGAGATCAGAGTGAGACAGTCCACGTCCACACTTCTGCCCTGCCGTGTGACCTTTTCCAACCATTCCACTCTTCTGTAAAATGGGGCTCCTGTCTACATCAAAGGATCTCTGGAGCACTCAGATAAAGGAAGGGCTGTGAATGTGCTTCTTCAACTGTAAGCACTTCTGAGTTTTCCTAAGAGCTTCAAGGAAATGCTTTGTGTTAGAAGAGGCAGTTGCCATGTGATTTATTTCTTGAGTGAGAAGAGCCAAGGAATTGTTTCTGACATTCTCCCATACTCTGGCAGGGCAGCTGGGCAGGAAGATGTTATCTCCATTTGTTTGCTTCCTCCTGTCATGAAGGAGGCCTGATAGCCCGGTGTTTAGAGGCTAAAGGCCAAAGTTAAGCTCACAAGTTGGGCCCTGCATCCAGGGGGAGCTGGGAGTTAAATGAAGGAAACTTGAGAAAATGACTCCTGGCAAAGGAACAGGGCCTATTAATAGGCTGAGCAGTGGTGGAGAGGGACTGGATGCTGGAAGCATTGCTGGGCAAGACTGGGTTTATTTCTGGGTCAGAATGTTGAGGGGCCTCACTAGGGGGAGTGATACTGAATCCCCTCAATTCAACCTACCAACTCTTTTGCCCAAGTCCTTGTAAGTGACTTGAACAATGCCTGAACGCATATGTAATAAATCAGCCATGCATGGAACATATCAAGCTGAGACTTTCAAGACCTCCCTCACTTTTTCCCTGCCTGGGGCAGGACTCTCAGGCCAGAGTACCAGAGGGAATGGAGAAGGGGAGGGCTCCAAGTGAGGGAGGAATGCTACAGAGCCTTCCAAGGGACTTGGAAGAGTCTCCTAAAGGACAGAGGTGGAGGAAGGGCAGGAATTGTCATCAGGGACTGATAGGTTGAGGGTGTAAGAAATGGGGTTTGGCTTATGTAGGTGGGCCATTGCAAAGAGAGAAGCCAAACCACTAACCCCATCTCCTCCTTGTTCTGTCTCGAACTAGCTGCCACCCGGGTTACCACGGAGAGAGGTGCCATGGGCTGAGTCTCCCGGTGGAAAATCGCTTGTATACGTATGACCACACAACCATCCTGGCCGTGGTGGCCGTGGTGCTGTCATCTGTCTGTCTGCTTGTCATCGTGGGACTTCTCATGTTTAGGTGAGTGTTGGGGGTCCCTACAGGCTGTTTCTGCAAATCACTCCCATTCTTCCTGCTCCTGAGTCTTCTACCATCATCTGAACTATCCCCTCCACACCAAATTATGGGCTAGTTCCTGGGTATAGAGTCTCTAAAAGTTTGGTTTCTCTGGCATGATGTGAGTTCAGTGTCGAGAGCCCAGGATCAAACTTGTCATGCCATAGTAGGTTCTGCTCCTCATGGGAGGTCTTTTTCTCCCTCTGTGCCCAGCCACTCACCCACAGAGTCACCTTGTCATACATTTCTTTTTCCTGCTTCATTCTTTGATGGCATTAGTATGTGGTTTGGTAGTCAAGGTGTGGGTGGTGCTATTGGCATATCCTTTCAATTCTGAGGCATATGGACCTCAGGCCATACTTCCAATCCAGGTATGTTCTCAGTTAGGGGAGACCTTCAAGAACTCCATGCCTGTTTTCAAGCATTGCAACTCATCTGTTGTGGAATCTGGAACCAGTTAACTGTCTCTCTGCAGACTGTAATCTTATAACGATTGTAATCTCTGCCCACCTACTTCAAAAGGATATTGTGAGGATCATATAAATGAGGTGAAATCTTGTTGTCAATTCTAACTTGCTGTTACAGGCAGCATCCCTTAGGGTAGTTGAGCCTTTGACTGGAGGTCTGTTGGGTTTCCATGCCCTCTGGGCTTTTCCAAGTAGTGAAGGGACCACAGTGGCAGAGTTCTATTCTGCCGTGCTGTGTCCTAGCAGGCAGGACTTGCTCACCAAGCTTATCTTCTTCAGGTACCACAGGAGAGGAGGTTATGATGTGGAAAGTGAAGAGAAAGTGAAGCTGGGCATGACTAATTCCCACTGAGAGACCCGTACTCAAGGTACCGTCCTTCCTTTGGCCCCTGATACCATCACTACCTTTCCTGGCTCTGTTTCAATGAGTGCTAAATTCTTCTCTTGATCTAGGGGTTGAGGAACCCTAGGATCTCATTGCAGGAGACTGTCAGTGCTTCATCTCCACTTAGGGTGAAAGTTGCTAGAGAGATACCCAAGAAAGAAGCCTGAGAGGACAGCTTCTTTCACGCGCATCCCTTCTCCTTCTCTTCCCAGCTGATTTTTCTACTTTTTAAGACTGGACCCAGGTGACTGTTAAGATCTCTTTTGACTTAACCTACCCTCTTCTTGTGCTTTAGGAATTGGCTGGGGACTTCTACCTGTGGGAAGACACAAGTTGATCACAGAATCTGCAGAGGGGAAGGACTTCACAATTAGCCATGAAGACTCCTTTGTCCCCAGTCACTATCTGGATTGGGCCTCCCATAATTGCTTTGCCAAAATACCAGAGCCTTCAAGTGCCAAACACAATATACCCAGTGGGATCTGGGTCAGAAGAAAGCAAAAGCAAGGAACCTTCACTTCAGGCCCTCCTGATTCCCCTCCACCAACCTCATTTCCCCCCATAAGTTTGTTTAAACACTTACCTTCTGGTTTGAAATGCCAGTTAAATTCCTTATGCTCCAGGATCTTTGACTGAAAAAAAAAAAAAGAAGGAAAAGAGTAAGGAGGAAAGATTTATGGATTTATGGACTGGAAGAAAATTGAGAAGCCATGTACTGAAGTAGCCACTAAGGGATCTGCCATTGGGACCCTCCAGCGCTGGATTTGATGAGTTAACTGTGAAATACCACAAGCCCGAGAACTCTGAATTTTGGGACTTCAACCCAGATGGAAAAGTAACAACTATTTTTTTTGTTGTTGTTGTTGTTTGTAAATGCCTCTTAAATTATATATTTATTTTATTCTATGTATGTTAATTTATTTAGTTTTTAACAATCTAACAATAATATTTCAAGTGCCTAGACTGTTACTTTGGCAATTTCCTGGCCTTCCACCCTGTATCCCCACCATCTGACTCAGCGCCACCCTCCCCTGCTGCAAAGCTGAGATGGCTCTGTGACCATCTGTACTAATTTATTGTCTGTCCACATTTCTGAAGATCTTCCATGGTCAGAGGGCCACAGGGGGGTTCTGTATGGTCAGGATGTAAGGGTTAACTCGGTCAGAGCCACTCTATGAGTTGGACTGCAGTCTTGCCTAGGCGATTTTGTCTACCGTTTGTGTTTTGAAAGCCCAAGGTGCTGAGGTCAAAGTGTAACAGATATCAGTGTTTCCCTGTGTCCTCTCCCTGCCAAATCTCAGAAGAGATTGGGCTTCCATGCTTGCAGCTTTCCTATCTCTCACCCCCGTGGCCCTAGGCCCACAGCATGGGAACCCACTCTCCCTTGTGTCATGACATTTCTCTTACTCCTGTCATTCTTCTGGTGCTACTCCATGCAGGGGTCAGTGCAGCAGAGGACAGTCTAGAGACGGTATTAGCCAAAAAAAAAAAAAAAAGGCTGAGGAGGAACAGGGAATGTTGGAGCTGACTGTTCTTGGTAATCGATTGGAGGTAGGGAAGGCTTTTGTGTAATCCCACCCACCTCACTGAACCTATAAAGGTATGCTGTCATGGTCCCTTCTGGAAGTTTCTGGTGCCATTTCTGAACTGTTACAAACTGTATTTCCAAACCTGGTTCATATTTATACTTTGCAATCCAAATAAAGATAACCCTTATTCCATAGCCTTTTGTCTGCTTGTTTTAATTGGAAACTGGTTTAACTTAGGTATTTTCTTTTCTTTTCTTTTTTTGAGTTGGAGTCTCACTCCGTCACCCAGGCTGGAGTGCAGTGGCATGCTCACAGCCTCCCTAGCATTGACCTGCAGGGCTCCGGCGATCCTTCTGCCTCAGCCTTCCAAGTAGCTAGAACTATAGGCACGCACTACCACATCCAGCTAATTTTTTGATTTATTGTAGAGACGAGGTCTCACCATGTTGCCCAGGCTGGTCTAGAACCCACGGGCTCAGGCCATCTTCTCATCCCGGCCTTACAAAGTGCTGGGATTACAGGCTTGAGCCACCACGCCAACTTAGATGTTTTCTAAGTCCTGACTTGATGTTAGTTTTTATACTAACCCTATTTATACTGTCTCAGTATTCCCACAAACTCAGTGAGGGAGGTACTACGACCGTTTCGTTTTTCCAGAAGAGGAAACTGAGGCTCAGAGAAGTTACATAACTTGTCTGAGGATACTCAGTAAGTGATAGAGCTGGGTCTGGTTATACTAGTATGCTACCTCCGAGATAAGAAAGAATAAGCCTTTCACATGGAAAGTTTGACTGGCTATAACCAGGAAAGATATCCATCCATTCAGTCAACAGGCTCTGGACTCAGGACCTAGTCCTGTGCTGTTCATGCAAGCAGATGTTGCTCCTGGTGAGAACAAGATAAGATATCTTTGACTCTGGACATCTGCACAGTGTCCAGAACTATCATGTCTTCCGGAACTGTCTGCTCTGCTGGCCTTCCCTGACAACTCTACTATACAATAGCACTTTCCTCCCCCACTCCACTCTTACTCTTTTTACACTGATTTATATTTTTCCATATCCCTTTTCACCACTAACCTGTTCATTCCTATTGGGAGGGGGTGTTTGTTTGTTTTGAGTCACACTCTGTCACTCGGGTTGGAGTGCAGTGGCATGATCATGGCTCACTGCAGCCTCAGCCTCCTGGGCTCAGGCTATCCTTCTGCCTCAGCCTCTTGAGTAGCTGGGACTACAGGCACACGCCACCACCCTGGTTAATTTTCTTAATCTTTTGTAGAGATAAGGTCTTGCTATAATGTCCAGGCTAGTCTCCAATTCCTGGACACAAACAATCCTCTCACCCTGGCTTCCCAAAGTGCTAGGATTACAGGCAAGAGCCACTGTGCCAAGTCTTCCTATTTCTTTATAGTTCCTTTCTGCCTATTAGAATGTTAGCTCCATGAGGGTGTATAACATTGCTTTGTTCCCAGATTCTAAAATGTTACAATTGAGTTGTATGTGCTCAATATTTGTTACATGAGTGAATGAGTATAGAAAACAAAATCCGTTCCTAGGCCAGCAAGTGGACAGATATATAATCCAACACTGCCCTGGTTCTGTGCTTGGATTTAGAGAGGGGCTGGGGAGGGGGATGGGAATGAAAAGATAACTGTGCAATTTGGGGCATGTCAAGTGATGTCTCTTACCCAGGCTAGAGTGCAGTGGTACACTCACAGCCACTGCAGCCTCGACCTTCTGGGCTCAGGCAATCCTTCCACCTCAGCCTTCCGAGTAGCTGGAACCACAGGCATGTGCCACCACACCCAGCTAATTTTTTTGATTTATTGTAGAGGCGAGGTCTCGCCATATTGCCCAGGCTGGTCCTGAACCCCTGAGCTCAGACAATCCTCTTGCCTTGGCCTCCCAAAGTGCTGGGATTACAGGCATGAGCCACCGTGCCCAGCTGAATATTCTTTTAAAACTGTAGGCAGCAATAACTACCAAAGTTGAACATATGCATACCCCATAACCCAGCAATCCACTCCTGGGGATACACACAAGAGAAATGAGTACACATGTTCACCAAAAGATATGTACAAGAGTGATGTTTCTTAGTATTATTTACAATAACTAAATACTGGAAAATGCCAAACACCCATCAGTATTTGATGATGACATGAATAAATAAACTGTGGTATATCTATACAGATACAATGAAGTACTGAATATGGATGAATTTCACAGCATATTGCCTAGTGAAAGAAGTCAGACACAAAAAAAGAACATTCTATGTACTTCCATTTACTTAAAATTTTGAAACGGGCTTTCACTACAGTGAAAGAAATGCGGAAAAAGATTCCTGTTGGGATCAGTAATGACTGGACAGGAGGGACTTCTGGTGCTCTGATAAGTTGGGCCATGGTAGGGGTGCAGGCTGCACGGGTGTATTCACTTTGAGAAATTCAGCAAGCATGATTTGTGCAACTTTATGTATTATATTTCAATGAGAAAACTTTTCAAAACTTGGATAGGGGACTCTTTTGCTATTTGCATTACATAAAATTCTGTAAACTACTAATGTATTACTTTGGTAATCAGAAAAAATAGTGAAGAGGTCTGAAATAACTGGAGTAGTGAGTTACTTTGAACTCTCCTTGGGCTCCCTTTCCTGCTTCCGAGCTTCCAGTCTCAAGCCCTTGTCCTGGGCTGGGCTTTTCTGAGTACACGTTGTTTCTCTAGCTAGTGTTTCCTGCAGGATCAGGGCTTCCTGCCTTTCAGCAACTCTCCCCTCATGTCTCTGTTGCTGATGGGAGTTCCCCTTGGTGGAGCTCCTTGGGGCTCCTCTGAGAGTCTTCTTGGTTGATTCAGTGGCCCTGGGAACCCCTAAACCTGCAGCCACTTCTCAAGATTGACTGTCAGAAGAAAGCACCTACCTCTTCTCTGTGGGCTCCCTTTCAGCCTCCTTCGAGATACTTTCTTTTATAATGTTCATGATAATCATCTTTAGGTAAATACACATTTAGCATTTAATGGAGTGCTCACCATGTATGGGGCTGCATACTTTATAGGCGTTATCTCATTTATGTCTCATCACAACTTAGGAGGTAGGTACTCTTACTGCACCCATGTTACAGATGAGAAAACTTAGACGTATGCCTAAGGAAAGTGGTAAGGGCAGGATGTGAACTCAGGAAGCCCAGTTCCTAAGCTGCACTCAAACTACTAAGCTACACTCCTAGATGAGCTATCTGTGTCAGACTGGTTTTCTCTTCTTCCCATAACCAGAAATAATATACTGGAGACAATTTGGGAGGCCGAGGTGAGAGAATTGCCTGAGCCCGCAGGTTTGAGACCAACCTGGGCAACTTGGTGAGACCTTGGCTCTACAATAAATAAAAAATTAACTGGGTGTGGTAGTGCGTGTCTGTAGTTCCAGCTACTTGGAAGGCTGACGTGGAAAGATTGCCGGAGCCCAGCAGGTCGATGCTGGGGTGGCAGTGAGTGTGCCACTGCACTCCAGCCTGGGCGACAGAGAGAGACTCCAACTCCAAACACACACACACATTTATACACTTGAGAAATTATATGAAAAAGATCTTAGAGAACAACTCCTTAGAGCTCAAGACTTTTCTTCTGTTGCCTCCCATTTACAGATTCATGAAAGGAGGCCCAAGGGCCTTATCAGGATGCAGTGTAAGGAATTGGAGTGCAGGCTGACTCAAACTTGGGTCTGATTCCAGGCCCACTGTTTATTAGGGGAGTGCCCTCATACACGACACCTAACTTCCCTGAAGCTGTCTTCCTGTCTATAAAATAGAGATACTATAAATATCTACCTTGAAGAGTTGCAAAAATTTTACGTGTGCATAAAGTGCCTAGCTCAGGGCCAGGCATGAGCTGAATGCTCAATTCATGTTGGTTCTCTTAAGCAACCTGTCCAAGGAGCTAATTACTATAGCGACTCATCTAGGATTGAAACCCAGACTTCTGATTCCTGGCTCACAATTCTATCCTGAGAAACAAGCAATGCTTTTCAATCACTGTTTCACATTTCAGTGTTAACTTCGGTTTCAAAGGAGTCCTGGAGGGTCTTAAAACGTATTTGTGGATTTAAGAAGCCACGGAACAGCAATTCTGTCCAAAAATATCACTTCAACTTGGCTGGCCTGAAATTCTTCCCTTTGTCAACAATGACTGAAATTCAAGCTTCCTGTTTGAGAATGCTAATCCTCCTGGGAATAGCTATGCGTTAAGAGGCTGGCATTCTTTGTTGGTGTAATTCATTTTAGCTTCATTCATTCAGCAAATATTTGTGGCAGCCTCCCTATCACCTTACAAATGAGATCCATGATCTGAAGGAGAGGGATTTTGACTGAGTAAGGGAGGGACAAAGAAGTGAGAACATTCTCTAGAGCAAGGACATTCAATGTATTTATCCACAAAAATTGACTGAACACTTATAAGGTGCCAAGTACTATTCTTGTCACTGGAGTGAACAACACCAACGCATGGACCAACAATGCAAGCATAAATAAACAAATAGGATAATTTCAGAAATAAGGAACACACACAGAAAAAATAGAGGTGTGCTAAAGGATCAGTTAGAACAGAATTCATTTTTGTAGATACCCCAAGAAAGGTCTCTCTGAGGAGGTAACATCTGAACGGAGACAAGAAGAGGTCGACATGTGAAGGCCCTGAGACAAAAATAAGCTTAGTTTGTATGAGGGACAGAAAGGGGCCTCTGCAGCTGCAGTATAGTCAATAGTTTGAAGAGGGAGGCAAGGACCAGATCACACAAGGCCTTGTAGGCCATGGTGAACAATCTGGAAGCCAGAGGAGTGGGGGGTAATATGGCTTATGTGCCAGAAATATGACTCTTCAATGCAAAGAAGGGTTCTAGGGGACAAAAGTAAAAGAGGCAAGACCAGGAACCAGGTACAGTGGTTCGAACCTGTAATCCCAGCTACTTGGGAGGCTGAGGTGAGAGGATTGCTTGAGACCAGGAGATCTAGACCAGTCTGGGCAGCATGGTGAGACCGTCATCTCTAAAAAACAAAAACAATTTTTTAAAAAGAAGCAAAACCAGTTGGGAGACCCTTGTAGCTGTGTAGGCAAGAGGTAATGGTGGCCAGAATTAGAGTGGTAGCAGAGGAGGTGGTGGGAAATGGTCAGATTTGGAATATGTTTTGGAGGAATCATCTGTAAGACAT